ACCTCTAGGATAGTGTAAAGTTCAGGAAGTTGGTCAAGGCCTTGTTCCACCCAACATCAAGAATTAGAGGTTGGTGGTGCCTGGCTGGCTCAGTCGGTAGAACATGCAACTCTTGATGTCAGGGTTGTGAGTTTGAGCCCCATGTTGGCCGTAGAGGTTACTTAAAAAAAATAGAAGTGGAAGTTGGAATAGTACTAGTACTAGTGATAATAATAATAATAATGGCACTTACTATATGTCAGTCCCTTTTCTAAGTACATTTCCCATATTATCTCATTTATTTTTCACAGTTACTAAGCTACAGTTATCCCTATTTGACAGATGAAAAACTGAGGCACACAGAAGTTACCAGGGTCACATAACTACTGAGTAACAGGAAGGAACGAAACCCTTGCAGACTGGCTCTTGATTGTATTCTACTATCCACTCTCATTCATTCATTCACCACGTAATAATTGAGCATCTATTATGCTACAGGCATTGGGCTTTATGCCACCAATCCTTTAGTGAATCCAGATGGATGCTTATCTTCTTTGAGCTTGCAGTCTATTGGGCATGAAGCTAGTGACTTACTGTGTAAAGTACTTGATGTTATGAGAAAGCATTAGTCAATATTGGTATGGCACATTGATTTTGATATAAGCTCCTTAATAAAAATAGGTAGCCCAACTCCTCCCCCCACAACCTTGGTTGTCTTCTTCCTTCTCCTCCCCATCTGAGTGGATAGGAGGGTCAGCCGACTTAAATGTGAACCTTCAAAGTCAGGCACCTTCACTCTACTCTGGTGGGTCTCAGGTCCCAGGCTAGGTGGGCGGGCTCCCCACTGCGATAGAGCTGTGCCAGTTACAGTGGCAGTAGCGGTGGCATTTGGGGGCGGGGTGAATTTAGAATGCATTGCTATTAAGGAGCCTCCACGCCCAGCATGGAGGCCAACGTGGGGCTTGAACTCATGACCCTGAGATCAAGACCTGAGTTGAAGTCAAGAGTCAGACACTTAACTGACAGAGCCACCCAGGCACCTTGAATGCATTGGTGTTAACCCATTCTTGGTTTGTTTTGATGGATAGCCATACAACTCTGGAATATGATTCTGGGTTCATCAACTTGCGGATGGCCTCCGCAAGGGGATTTAGGAGAAAACTCTGAGGGTTCTGTTCTTTCATACAGAGGAAGGTCCAAGCTCGTTCTTCTAAAGATAGAGTCACATCTATTATCTTCAAGTTCTGATATACTAATTTTGACTGCATCTTTTGGAAACCTTAAAACTATCTCTTCCTGGGATTCAAACTCAGAATTATGTGGAATAAATTACATGAGCCTCGTTTTTTAGACTTTTGTCTTGAATTCCATCGGGGATCTCTTCTAGGGTGCACCCTTTTGTGACTCTTGGGTCACAAAGTTCACATGATTGGGATTCATTAATTCATTCTTCCATAAGTGTTGATTGAATGCCTACTGTATGCAAGACCTAAAATAAATCCAACTTGAGATCCTGGAGTTCATATTTCCTTAAAAATTCTAAAGACAAAAATGCTAACTTTAGACTTATATGAGGATTTAGGATTAAAAGGAAATAAGTAAGTCATAGATTGTTCAGGAACCAATGATTTATTTTGCTCAGGAGGAGAATATTCAATTCTAAAATATACTGATATGTATAAACACATTTGGTAATAAAACAATGTAGTTTTTATGAGAACATATCTAATCATGAACACTGAGATCCAGCCTCTTCCAAATGTGTAAAATAAGTTAGAGTTTTATTCATACTAATGATAATGGGAGTGACATATGTGCATACAGTGAGTTCATGGTTGAAGGCCCTGCTGATTAGGATCTGTGTTCTGTGGTTTTTGTCACTTGTGTGTGTTTAAACCCTGTAGAATAGAATCTATCCCCATGTATTTGGTTTATGAAGAAAACCGGAAACATGATATTGAATTAATGATCCAGTTTCTCAAAAGGGGAGACTATTGGCCTAACACCTTCCTAAATTGTAGCTGTCAACGTGTTTAGTTTGGTTCTAATGGGAGCTGGGCTGGAGAAAGGAAAAGTTTTATAGGAAAGGTTATGTGATATTAATAAGAACCACATTCTGTTTGATGTTCTCTCAAATTGTATGTCTTTATCTTACTAAAAATTGAACCATCCAAAAATAATAAATCTTCCTCTTCTATGGCCCACAAATGATCAACATTTTGGATGACCAAAAAATTTTTGTCCTAAAGATACCCCCCCTACTAGCTCAGCTTTATTTTCTGGGGCTGATTTATAGCTCCGAGCACCACCTCATATTTTTTCAAGCATCAGAGTCATAATGTATTTTACAAATACCCAAAAGTGCTTAAAAATCCATGAACCTCTGTATTCCTATTTTTTTATTCTTTTATATGTATTCAAATTGGCTAAACAGATGGCTTCCTATTTTTGAAAAAAAAAAAAAAAAAACCTGCTAAGAATATTCACCTTAAGATGGAGAACTCTTAGGTTAAATTTCATTCTGGAGTGCACTTTTACAGCCAAGTAATTAACCTTTGGAAATGAGAGTATTTGAGAAAAACAAGGGAAATCTTTTTTTTTTTTTTAAAGATTTTATTTATTTATTTGAGAGAGAGAGAATGAGAGACAGAGAGCATGAGAGGGAGGAGGGTCAGAGGGAGAAGCAGACTCCCTGCCGAGCAGGGAGCCCGATGCGGAACTCGATCCCGGGACTCCAGGATCATGACCTGAGCCGAAGGCAGTCGCTTAACCAACTGAGCCACCCAGGCGCCCCAAACAAGGGAAATCTTAACAAGATGATCTCCCAAACACTGGTTTGGTAGACATCTCAGAAGCAGAGATGCTCCAGGAGGTTAATAATGAAAGATGTGAAAATGTTTTACAAACATAGCTATTTTAATTTTCCAAACTTTCTTGTTGTCTCTCTTTATTACAATAGCCTTAAGAAATAAATACTTGAAGGAGTGTGTTTCATAATAACTATAGGAATTGGCACAAAAATTCTTGGTGGGAGGATGGAGGTCTTGACATTAGTCACTTTTAGTCAGTCCTATTTGTTGGGTGCTTACCACACACTGAGGTCTCTTCCATGCTTGTGAAGGGATACAGCAAATTGTAACATGTAGAATCTGCCCTTTGAGCTTACAGTTTAGCTAGGCTGAAAAGGGCTGGATTCATGAAAAGTGAAAAGGAGAAATAGAAGGGATAGTAGATGGGGTGTTGAAGTAGTCTGTGATTGTTATCTGAGACTCTTTGTTAATAACACAAAGTTAAACCAACAAAAGGTCATTATGGGATGGAGTGAACAGTTACGAATTCCTCTCCTTGCAGCTTTCACTAAACCTTGAGAGAGAGACCAATTTTGGAAAGGCAGAATTTGGGTACGTGAAGGCAGAAGAATACCCTAGATGGGAGAGAAGTTTCTTTTTGGAGCCAGACAGGCTTCAAATCTGGGTTCAAACCTTAGTTCCATTGTTTTGTAGATATGTAATCTTGGGAAGTAACTCAGCTTTTCTAAGCATTTTGTTGAAAAATGGATATATTTTTAGGATTAAATGAGATAAAATATATAAAATGATGCATAATAAGCACTCAATAAATGTTAATGCCCTTAGTTAGAGAGGACATCCTCAACAAGAAGGAGAGGGCCAGCTATGTTCGTGGAGCAACACGAACACTAGTGTGAGTCCTGGAGGGAAGGATTAAGTAAGAGAAGTGGAGTGAGATAATGTGGAAAGATAAATCAGGATCAGATTTAGTCACTCACTTGTTTCCTCATTCAATAATTTATTGAGCTCATTTTATATGGGAAGTCCTCTGCTAGGCCTGGGGATGTGAAGACAAAGAAGACTTAGCCTTGAATTTCTGCTGGCTGTCAGGGTAAGGAATTGGAGCTTTATGCTATGGGGAATTATATCTTTCAAGAGGGGGGAGCTGTACAATGGCATTTTTGGATGGCATTCTTGGCATATACTTCTTGTGACCCAAGATATGACTTTGGTTGTTGTCTCTTAGGGGTTGGGGGTTAATGCTGTGCCTGTGGTCTTGTTGACCAGGATCCTGATGGAAGAGTCCATTCAAATGAATGAGGAGGAAGAACTCCTTTTTTAAATTTATTATTATTTTTTATTAACATATAATGTATTATTTGTTTCAGGGGTACAGGTCTGTGATTCATCAGTCTTACACAATTCACAGAGCTCACCATAGCACATACCCTCCCCAATGTCTATCACCCAGCCACCCCATCCCTCCCACCCCCCTCCACTCCCAGCAACCCTCAGTTTGTTTCTTGAGATTAAGGGTCTCTTATGGTTTGTCTCCTCTCTGGTTTCATCTTGTTTCATTTTTCCCTTCCTTCCCCTATGATTCTCTGTCTTGTTTCTCAAATTCCACATATCAGTGAAATCATATGATAATTGTCTTTCTCTGACTGACTTATTTCACTCAGCATAATACCCTCTAGTTCCATCCATGTTGCTACAAATGGCAAGATTTCATTTTTGATGGCTGCATAATATTCCTCTCTCTGTGTGTGTGTGTGTGTGTGTGTGTGTGTGTGTACACACCACATCTTCTTTATCCATTCATCTGTTGATGGACATCTAGGCTCTTTCCATAGTTTGGCTATTGTGGACATTGCTGCTATAAACATTGGGGTGCATGTGCCCCTTAGGATCACTACATTTGTATCTTTGGGGTAATTACCCAATAGTGCAATTGCTGGGTCATAGGGTAGCTCTATTTTCAACTTTTTGAGGAACCTCCATACTGTTTTCCAGAGTGGCTGCACCAGCTTGCATTCCCACCAACAGTGTAGGAGGGTTCCCCTTTCTCTGCATCCTCGCCAACATCAGTCGTTTCCTGACTTGTTAATTTTAACCATTCTGACTGGTGTGAGGTGGTATCTCATTGAGGTTTTGATTTGTATTTCCCTGATGCTGAGTGATGTTGAGCAATTTTTCATGTGTCTGTTGGCCATTTGGATGTTTTCTTTGCAGAAACGTCTGTTCATGTGAGGAGGAAGGACTTCTGAGTGGAACTTGATTTCATCCCTTGACGTAAAATCTTGGCAATGAAACTGTTCCTGTTGTACTTGTGGTTAAATTCCTCACTAATCTGGGATTTTCCACACTCAGTGAGTATTGCATTGGGTCTATAGTCATGGTGACCCTTAGAACTTGGCACCAGAGTAACAGTCTATTCAGGGCTAAGGAGAAACTGGATAATCTAGACTTAGTGACTTTCTCCATGATTGTATGTCCTATGAGTGGAACTTCCCTCTCTGTTAGTAGATCTCTGTAACCAGAAGTCCTGTGACACACAAAACACGTGGACATTCAACCACAAGTTGTAGATTGGCTGAGTACAGATGTTTTCTTCACGAAGCTTTGGTTGGATACATAGCTTCTATGTCTTCTAATCACAGATTATTGGCTCATATTCTCACCTCTACCTCTGCCAACTATTCTTATCTCTATTTCCCCTTTTGGCCCAAGGCTCAGTGGAACACAAACCAGATGAGATGTGGAATCTTTTGCTTTCTGTGATCTCCTAGCACATTCTGGGTAACTACTATTTCAATGGCCAATTTCTTTATTTCAGGGTTGGTACCATATTGAATTGTGGTACAGAACTGAGATAAAATTCCTTTTAAGGTGATTATATTTTGGTTCTCAGCTTGGAAAATGCCACTGGGTCATGGGATCCAAGATATATAACTTATAAGAGGACATAATACCCCCTTTAATACCTAAGCACCAGCTTTATGTCCATTATTGTATGTTATTTTATACCTGGCTTTGACACCCCCACACAGACATCTATCTACACAGTGTTCAAGCTTCACTTTTTGTGTGTGTGTGGCTGTTTAGCTCAGGTGGTTAGGGCATTGAGCTAATGAGAACAAGGTCACAGGTTCAATCTTTGTGTGGGCCAGCAAGGTTTGCTTTGTTCAGTGACCACAGGCCTGGCCCAGCCAGCTGTCTAGCATATGTCTGCCCCAGGTCATAAGAGGACATGGCAGGAGTGTGTGGATGGACAAGAGCAAATCCATCACCACCATTAGAGAAAGCCAAACCAAGCACGTGTCCTACTAATGGGGGTCAATAATGTCTCATTTAAACGAGGTTGACATTTTAATACCTCTTGCCAAGAAGGCCTTTTGAACACCAAATTTAAGCACTGTTGCTTTTTTGGTGTGAATTCATTTTTAATAAATGAAAGGCTGTTACAAGACATCAGATGATTACAGATTTCCAAATATAGATTAATGACTCGAATATCTAAATAGTTGGTTTAGTATTAAAAATAATTCAGTGTGGCCATTCAGTTACCTTCCTTTTTCCTTAAAACCTGTTTAAGCTAGTGAAATAAATAGTTTTTTAGTGAGTGGTTGATAATCATTATCTTGTTTAAGAATGAAAACATTTATATTCGACTTTCTGATAATTAGACCATTAAAATGTTAGCAAGAAGCTGCTACAATTCTGTATTATTCAACATTTTGGCCATTACCCAGACCACACATCCCATCTTTCATTTCTAGGCAAACATGTTCCTCAAATTGCTTCATTATTTAGCATCATGTCTTGGATCAAAATCTACTCCATTCCAAAGTGCTCTATCTCAGCTGTTTCCCCCAGCCAGGTCTTTATGAGCACTGAAAAGCCATTTGATATGGAAGAGGGGAGGGCAGAGTACAGATGGAAATTTGGCAAGAGAAGGATGGAGGATAATACGTTGAAGATTTTCTGAAAATCCATTTATTATTAGACAAACACTAGAAGAATGATAATAGAAATATACATTTACAATTTTTTGGAACATGTAATACAATTCACAAGGTTAAAAATAAAAAATATAAAATGGTATGCTGTGAGAAGTTTTGCTACTTCCTCTGTCCCTCATGTACCCAATTCTATCTCCCTTGGATAGCCATTTTTACTAGTTTCTAGTGTACTCTTCTGGAGTTTTTTTATGCAACTATATCTTAAACTCTCCCCTCTTTTGATGCAAAGGTTAACACACTATAAACATTGTTCTTAATCTTGCTTTTTTCACTTACTATATCATGGAGACCATTCTATAGATGAAGAATAGCCTCATTTTCTTCAGAGTTATATACTATCCTACTATAACTTATTTGTCTAGTTATCTGTTGATGGACTTTGATGTAGTTTCCGGTATTTTCTATTACAGACACCAATGGAATAAATTATTTCGGAATGTATTACATAGAAAGCATTCTTATTCTCTTTTTAACATTTGCATATTATCCATTGAATGGATATATCATAATTTATTTATCTAGTCCCCTATTGGTGGACATTGAGTTTCCAATCTTTTATTTTTTATAGACAGTATTGTAATGAATAACTTTACACATGTATTATCTAATATATGTGCAAGTACCTATGTAGAATTAATCTGTAGAAGTTGGATTTTAAAGTAAAAATGGAAATTTTAATGAACTCAATGTTATAAAAAACTTATCATATTATACGATTCACTGTTTTCATTTTCCAAGTTACCTCTATGCCTAAGTCATTTTTTCCTGGTTGTAGAATATAAATTATTTTGCTTTTACACTTGACATTATAGTATAGACATTTAAAGGATATGGATTCTAGAGCTATAGCAAGAGTTAAAGAATTGAGGGAACTCCAACAGAGAAGGGACTTTAGTGGCTTGGGGGTTATGGTTGTCTTTTAGGCAGTGTCAGGGCCGTACAACAAATTTAAATTTAGAAAAGTCTCTGTAGCCTAGTTAAGATTATGTACATAAGAAGTATGAGCCCATGATAATTGCATGAGTGAAATGTTTGGTTGTGAAAAATACTTTTCATTTATGGATAATTTTTAGATACTCTTAGCTTTGGGAATGGTGGGGAAAAACCCTTCTGTCACTGAGTTAGAAATTTTGTGAGAAAACACGTTAATTTAAATTTATTAATATTGTCATATACCATTTCAAGAAAGTACTATATCCAGGTAATTTTATTTGATATCCAATTAAGTATGAAATGAAGAATTCTTTTTTTAAAAGATTTATTTATTTGAGAGAGAGAGAGAGAGGGTGAGAGACAGCACAATTTGGGCGAAGGGCAGAGGGAGAAGCACACTCCCCGCTGAGCAAGGAGCCTGATGTGGGAATAGATCCTGGAACTCTGGGATCATGACCTGAGCTGAAGGCAGACGCTTAACTGACTGAGCTACGCAGATGCCCCTGAAATGAAGAATTCTAACATTTATTTTAAATGACAAAATAAGAAGGAGAAAAGAAGGTAAAATTCAGGGAATGTGGCCAAAGAACATTTTCCTGAGTACTTCTCAAACTGCTCTGTACATGAACAACGTATCATTGTAGTTAACATTGTTGTTGGGCATTTCTTGTTATGTGTGACCTTTAAAGAGAGGCAATTTAAGAAAGCCATTGTGTTAAGGTAGGACAGTGTATTTTTGGGCAATAGCAATAGGGTTCACTATAGGGTTTTCATTTATTCAGAAATCCATTTATTCAATACACTTATTCACCTATCCCCTGTCATATTCCATACTTATTTGTGTATAATCATCGTGCTAAAACTCTGGAAAATACCTTACAGTCTTGTAAGAGAATTAAGAAATGGACAGGGTAGATTGAAAGCATTTAAGTACTTTAAGAATGACATAAAATGCTATGGCAGTTCCAAAGAGGAAGACATTTCTTTCTTTCTTTCTTTCTTTCTTTCTTTCTTTCTTTCTTTCTTTCTTTCTTTCTTTCCTTCTTTCTTTCTTCTTTCTTTCTTTCTTTCTTTCTTTCTTTCTTTCTTTCTTTCTTTCTTTCAGATTTATTTATTTATTTTGAGAGAGAGAGAGAGAGAGACAGAGAGAGTGGGGGGGAGGGGGGAGGGGAAGGGGCAGAGGGAGAGAGTCTTTCAAGCAGCACCCTCCCCCGCCCCGAGGGAGGAACCTGAGGCAGGGCTTGATCCCACAACCCATGAGATCAAGGCCTGAGCTGAAACCAAGAGTCAGGCACTTATTGAGCCACTGTGGCACCCTGAAAGACATTACTTTCAATAGTCAAGAGACAGTGGCATTTGTCCTGGAGAAAAGACAATTGGAGTAACAAAAATGCAATGTAAGATTTTACTGATGATGCAGTGATTTATTCAGTCTACATTGACTGGATAAACTGTCAGTTGCTGATGCACTGAGCTAGCTGCCCACCTTTCCTTAGTCCTGGGGCTGATACTTCACACACTTGCATAATTTGGCTCCATGTGGTCTGGTGGGGACGGATGGACTGTTTAAGGTGTTTCTCCAGATGCACGCAAGGGGCAGACTGCCTCAGGTGTAGCTCATGACCCAAAGACTCTTCTTTCATGGTTGATACTATCCCCTCATTTTTAGCATGTGTTTTGGTGAGCTTAGCTAGCACCTTCTCAGGCTGTCCCAGTCTCAGCAGATTCACCATGAAACTAGCATATTTGGTAGAGTTGAGGCAAGGAGCACAGTCCCAGGCTGCCTAAGCACTCTCCCGATGCAGCCTCTTTAAACCATCCAATCCTGGCCCCTCTTGCTATAAGCTGTCATGGCTGCATCTGAAATAGTTCTTTTGAGCTTTGCCAAAAATAACTCTGGAAAGGGTCTTGATGAATTTGGACCTAGGGAGGGGCTTGGGAAGAAAGAGAAAACATTCTCAGTGGAAGAAACACGACAAGCAAAGGTATGCACACAGGAAATTGCCAAGTGTGATGGGTGGGGAAACAGTTCAGCCTAGCTGAACTAGGGAATTTAAACGGGAATGGCGGATCTTAGGCTCCGGTTTTTCAGCTTATTGCTCTAATGGTAACATTTGTTGCTATGTTTTTTTCAAGAGAAAGGAGCATTAGTGATTGTCATTTAAGAAATGTACACGTTGGGGTGCTGGGTGGCTCAGTCGTTAGGCGTCTGCCTTCAGCTCGGGTCGTGATCCCGGGGTCCTGGGATCGAGCCCCGCAT